TTTAAAAGAGCTTAATTTATTTGCAAAAGTCATTGAGCCTCTGTTTAAAGGAGCTTTATTTACTTTTTCAAAAAAAAAAATATGTTGAGTTGATTGGGTTTTCCAAATCTTTGCATAATTCTTGTTTCACAAAAAATGCACAATGAAGGGTAGCTGTAGACACCCAAATCTGTTAGAGGGTCTACGTTTGATTTTTGTTAGTATATAAAAAAATAAAAAATAAAAAATGAAAAGGCTAGAAAAAAATAAAAAATAAGAAGAGTTTAAGTGGGATTAAAATTAGAAGTTTAAGTGGGATTAAATTTTGGAAGTTAAAACTTAAAAGGACTAAAATATTTTTTTGTTTAGGGCTCTCAAATTACATTCTATAAATGAATAGGCAAATCACACAGAATGAGGATATATAGAAAATCAGAAACAGAATAGAGAAAAACATAAATACATGGCACCATCAGTTCCCATCAAATTAATTTTGCTGTTATCTCCACATTGCCATCCTTCTTATCATTGGCAATCTATACCGAAGTAGCTTAGCCTTGAAAGTCAATATTGTCTCTATTATCAGTCGAGGCCTTATTCATTTTGAACCTATCATCAGCAGCCACTATCATCAGTAGCATAAACATAGAGTTACTAGAAATCACGTAGTAAATAGAAGCAATTCATTAGCAAATGGAAAAACCCAATGCTGCCAACATAGATTAAAGAAAAACAAATGTAAGTCAGAAAATCAAAGAGATCAAAAATAAGAAAGAAAATACGAGGAAAAAGAAAACCAAAAAACCCATGGTAGCGACGATGACAGGCTATTGTCGGCACAACTTTTAAGAGATCTGAATGGTGAAGACGAAGAGCTTAACAAGAGAAACAACATATTGAAAGTTGGAGAAGATTTGACAGTGGAAGAAACTGGAGCAAAGAAAGGAAAACCTAAGGCTTGAACTTCATATCTACGTCTTTAGGAAGTGATTTTCAAAAAACCAAGCCCATATTTAAGACGAGGAGAGTGAGAAGCAACAGTGGGGAGAATTTTAGCTTGATCGATTGTCAGACAATAGCAGAGTATGGCAGCACATATGGCGGAGAATAGCGGCACCGATGTCGAAATCTGTAAAACTTTAAAGTTTCCAATCGGGTCATTTTATCCCTAGAAAGAGAGATGAAGAGAAAGCTGAAGGTAGAGAGATAGTGTAAAGGTGAGGACTAAAGAAGAAAGGCTTACCTCTAGCTTATATAGCCACATAAAATGATGTCGTTTTGGCTATTAGCTAAGAGCAGGATTCGTGTGTTTTTAAGTGGGTAACCTGACCCATAGCGCGACCTGCACCAGCAACCCACACCTCAACCTAGCAAAGACGAGCCGCATCGAGCCGTTAAGCCAAGCTATTTCATTTTTTTTTACGTGTTTATTTTTTAGTATTTTTGTATAATTAAGTTTAGAAAAAAATGAAAAAAAGATAAAATATTTTTTGGGAATAAATATTAATTATCTAATGATAGAATTTATAGAAATTTCAAATGGTAAATTTTTATAAAATTCTTAGGTGAGAAATTATATCTAAATTTGTCTCAAATGGTGGAATAATTTAGATAAAGTTTCAATAACAATAATTAATATTTATTTTTAATTAAAAAATAAAAAATAAAAATAAAAAAATTTGGTTGAAAATATTTGACAATTATCCATAAATGAGATTCTTAGAAATTTCAAATGGTAAATTTTTTAAGAAATCTCTAGGTGAGAAATTTTCTTGAATTTGTCCTAAATGGTGAAAGAATTTAAATAAAATTTCAATAAAAAATAATTGCCATATGATTTTCTTTCCGAAAACAAAAAAAAGAAAAAATTTTTTTTAAATTGACCCAAATGATGAAAAATTTAGAAATCCAACAAAAAAAAAGAAAAATAAAAAGAATTTCTAAATAGGCTCAAATGATGAAAAATTTAGAAATTCTAAAAGAAAAAATATTTCTAATATGACCTAAATGGTGAAATAATTAGATATATTTTTGACAAAAACCAAACAAAAAAAAATCTTTCTGACAACAAAGCCTTTTCAAGTAAACAAATGGGATTCTTGAATACTCTTAAGGTGAGAAAATATTTTTAAGAATTCTACCAAATTGATGGAAGAATCTTATGAATTATTTCTAATATTCAACATAAAAATTAAAGCCATTAGAATCAAGACCTTAGGATAAATTTTAAATAATATGGTACTATCCTTCGGATGAGCATGTTGAGATGCTATAACATTCCTCATATATAACCGAACTCTCAAATCCTATTCTAGTTTGTAGACTTAAACCTATTTTTTTAAAGACCCTTAGTCAAGCTTAAGAGCTTTTTAAAAAGATAGATTCCTTATGTGGTCAATCACACCTAGTTAAAAAAGATTGGTGATGACTCTATTTGTAAATTTTGCTATAAATTTACAGATCTATATATTATGACAATATTGATATCATATAATTAACATAACAAATTAATAAAAAAAACCATAAAATGATAAAATTTATAATGTACTAGTTGGATGATGCTCCTTGATCAACATGGGACGGGGCGAACAAGGTCAAAGGAATTGTCTATACATATCTGAATTGTCGTAGATGGTATGGCCTTATAATTGCCCAACACTTGATGCATCTAATGAAAAAGGCAATGTCGTGCAATGTATGTGTCTCCTATCCATCAACGTATGGTTCCCAACAAATGTCAAATACCATCAACCCATCTAGGCACTTTTATAAAGCTTGCAATATATTAGCATAAGTATAAGCCTTTCATCATTGAGCACACTATAAATTGTTTTAGCATGTCAATATGGTCACTAGGCTTAATGATGAAAAGTGCTCATAAATCTATGCCTATACGAAATACATAAGTAATATTTAATTAGATAATTACATATATAAGTAATAATAGATAAATTAAATAATTATAATATATTTTGACTAATATATAAGGAGAAGTGTCAGATATCAGGTGATTTGATACATTTTTTCCATGCTAACATTTGCAAATTGCCTATACAAATAAGTGATGCAAGCTGTCCCTAAGCAAATCTACTTATGTCAGCGAGATTGGTCAATAAAGGTAAATATGCTATCAACACTCTCGTTACGATCTTATCAACAAATAGTGTACACTCGAGCAAATAGAGTAGAAAAGCTTGGGATGTATAAACAATCTCCTTATTATTTGATGCATTTACGACATGCCTAAAGGTATCCCACAGCCACTGGAGTTGAACCGCAAATCCCTTATCCTACTTAGTCTCTACTTTAATTGCATCCATAAAAACTCCAAATAAGCTCACTGGTATTGTGTTCATTTTAGCGATTATCAAATAATTCATTGAAACCATGGTCTTAGTGATCGGTATGTATAAAAGAGCAAACACATCATCTAACATGATGGTCATCTTTTCGAATGACATATGAAAGGTGTTCATCTCTAGCTGTCATCTCTCAATAAAAGTTGACATTATTGTGCTATTGATGGTATGATAAATGCAGTTGATTAGTGACAACAAACCCGACTAGATAACATTAGCTCGAATAGGTGTGTGTACATCATCTAGATGCCATGGGTATAACTTTAGCCCATCATTAATTAATTTCAATGTATTTTGATTTTGTAACAATAACAACAACAACAAAAATAAGATTAACAACAATGTCACCAATATTAACAACATAAACATTAACAACAAATCAACCAAGGCATTCTAAAAACATAAACTAACATGATTTGTATTATATGATTCAGGAGATTAATTGACCATTCCAAATTTGGAATGCATCATGAGATTCGAAACTCAAAATAATCAATATATTAATTAGACCTTGAGGAAATGATTCCACTTGACGTTTATGTGTGGTAGGTGTGGTAGGCTCCTTATAATGTGTGGTGGAAGGCTTAGCTTGAGGGAAGTCATATTTTGTATAGTTCTCTAGCTCATTATCCCCCATTCAATGTTTCGTCTTAGAGATAGTCAGAAGCTTCTAACTCGAATCGGGATTAACTTCGATACCTTTACCTCTACTAGGAATACTTCCACCTCATGTACAAGTCATATCTATAACAAAAAAAATAACAATTAAACTTACAGAATATACATTTAACAAGCTTTCTTAAATGAAAAATGAAAAATAACTTGAGATAAAAACAAACTTTCTTCCTCATTGAAAACAGATAAGCTCTCAAGTTTGGACATGATTGATCCTCCTTACCTAGGGATCGATCTTCCCTACATAAAGGATTGATCCTTTTTATACAAAAAACAAGTTAATGGATTGATGGTTTTTTGAAAATTTATTTCCAAAAGCCTTAAAAGCTTTTCAAAAATATATTTTTGAAAACTTTAAATTCTACGAAATTAAATTGTAAACCCTAACTTACAATTTAAGGCTCTCAAAAATCTATTTTCGAAAAACTTTTAAAGCTTTCGAAAATTTATTTTCAAAAAACTTGAATTTTATGAAATTAAACTGTAAACTCTAATATATTTTTTCATGTATTTAAGTCAAATCAATTAAAAAAAAACTTGAAATCTTATCTATGATTAGTGGAAAATTTAAAAAATAAATGATTTTGAGGTTGTTTGATGATTTAATATTAATTTTAGATTAAAAGTGAAAAAAAAAAAAGAAGAGAGAACGAAGGATAGTTTAAGGGTACGAAGGAAAAATAGATTGTTGAAAGATGATGTGTATTTAGTAAAAATATAAGTTTTAATTTTGAATTTAAAATATATTTAATAGTGAGATGTATATAATACATGGGATATATTTAAAATTCTCCGCAGCCCTTTCTCAACAATAGATATTCGAGCCTCCATTAATGCCACGTGGGCACAATCTAAACAAAAAATAAGTGCGATTCAATCCAAATTAGGCCTCGGAAGATTGTGGTTATAATTTTTATTTTTTGCCTATTGGGCAAAGAAAGGATTAAAAACAAAATAAAAAAGAAATCAGCTTTTGCCATTTGCATTTTGGCCCAAAGACAAATTAGTTGGGGAGACTAGAAAATTAGATGGGCTTTTGACACTTTGAAACTCCAACTCCAAAACTAGGATCCAAAATTTCGATCCATCTCAAACCCAGAAACGTAAAGGTAAATCAAAAGAAGGAAAGTAAAGCAGAGAAATCCTAATTCCCCTTTTTAGAAACCAAGAATCCTAAACCAAAAAAAAAAAAAAAAAAAAACGATGAATCTTTACGCCCACGATCTGTCTTTATTTGATTTTGCTAACTTCTCTGATAATCCTATAATCGGTAACCAATCATCGTACGATTCCTTAGTCAGACCTCACAATGATTCTAATGGCAGTGATTATGGTGATGGTGATGCTGATGATGATGGATATGAACGAGTTTCTGTGGCGAGTCGTAGGAGCCCACCAAAGCACCGCCACGACGGGACCTCGCCTTTGCCTCTGGGGATGGACTGGTCTACACCTCCTGATAAATGGGTATTTCCTCTTTTCTCGATTTCACCTCTCATTTCACGTGAATTTGATGTTTTCAATGCAAAGTTTTTTATTTTCTTTGGATACTTTTGGCCCCTTTTGTTTTAAAAGTTTAATGTTGAATTATTTTGGGCTAAATAAAATATTTTCTTGCAAATGGAGGATAGTTTTAGAGGTAAACGTTCAAGTTTGAATCAGTACAAGAGGTTACCCTTGACAGGCTTTCGCCATTTTTATTTTATTTTTTTTGATGAAGTGCTATCTTACTTAAAAAGAAGTAAGAACGAGTCGAGCTGCTTGCTCTAGGAATGGCTATTTTTTATGCTTTGATTCATGAATATGAAAGATTGATGCGCAAGAGCTGAATTTTCTCTTTGTTTTGCTGATTGTCATAGAAGCTTTTTTTGCCAGTTAATTGTTAAGTTCTGGAGAACAAAGTGAATCATGCTGGCATGGATGACTGGTTAAGAAAATGGTGTTCTATCTGTTTAATATGTGCTTCCTCATAACATTTCATATTATGCACACGTAATCTTTTCCACTTCATTTTACGGTTAGGATTGAATAGATGTGTAACCAGCCATTTTGTTGCATTTTAGCATGTCATTAACATGATCAGTTGATGAAAAGCTCTATTTGTTTTTAGATTTTTTTTTTCTTTTGGGAAATTTGATTCATGTTCACTTATAACATTCTTTAATTTGAGTTTCAATGTAGGATGGGCGGGACACTGTTTGGCCTCACAACTCCCATACAGGGTGGAGCTACTGCACCACAATTCCTTCTTGGATTCTTCTACCAACTTCCCGAGCTTCAGACTCTGTTGTGGTACTATTTCTTTTCTTGGGAGTATTTAACTCTTTCAAACTAGACCACAGTTGTCATTTTCAATGTGATAACTGTTCTTTCCATGTAGCCATATTGCTATATATGTTTGGATTCATGGCAGACTGCAAAGATATTTAGTTATACATTAATTGGGTGGAAGGAAATACACAATATGACATGATTGTCAAGAATTTTTTTTTAATCACCTGTTCTCTAACGACGTCTGTCTTTATTTTTGTTACTCAAAGATTACTTCTTTAAACATATTCTGAGGTGGCCAATTTTTGGGGGTCTTGTGATTCATGGAGAATTAGCTGGGAAAAAACAAGAGATGTACACTTGAGATATGAGAAGAGATGTACACTTGAGATATGAGAGTGAAACAATCTACGGAGGATTTGATTGGGATTGATATGAGGTGTATGAAATATGTGTGTAGGAACACTATGGTAGTCAGAGGAACTAGGTGGTGCTCAGGGGGTCACTAGCCAATAGGAGTCCAATTGGTAGTGGAGCTTCTTTAGGAGTTGGTACTTGAGACAAGTCCCCTTGCCTCCAGCCAACCAAAAAGAAACTGCAACAAGAAAAAGAAATAAACTATGTTAGAAAATTCTCTTGGTATATTGGGTAATATATATATATATATATATTTAAGTCTTGGTCATTTGCCATTATTTACTTGATGTTGTTATTTTTTATTTTTTTTTCCTTTTGCATGTTATTGTATTATCTTAATGACAAAAATGATAAGAGAGATGTATTTCTTGTTCCTTGTAGGGATTTTTTTCCTTCTGTATTGGTGGATTTTCTCCTTATTTGATGTGGTTGTTAACTTCTAGTTAAGGAATAGTTGCTTTAATTATTCCTTTTTAACATTCATTGAGGACAGTTTTACAGGGTTCAAGTTGGCATTCAATCACCAGAAGGCGTCACTACCACCCGGGGAATATTACGAAGATTTAGTGATTTCTTAAAGCTACTATCTGAAGTAAGTTTTGGTACTTTATTTTTATCACCTGGGAAAGTGTATTACTTTCTTTGTATTCTTTATGCTCTGTTGGCCATTTTGTTCTCATGTGCCATGAAATTACACAGATGTGTTTTTCATTTTTATTTTTGGGGTCAGATATTTGTCTATTTTCTGAGCTGGAAAAACATGCCATTTTTTGGCTCATTTGTTAAAATGGTTTAGTTCATTCTCATTTCTTACTCTGGCAGCTTAAGAAGATATTTCCCAAGAAATATGTGCCCCCTGCTCCTCCAAAGAGGATTTTGAGTATGAAAAACAGAACACTGTTGGAGGAGGTAAGCTAAAACATGGTTGCTTATTTTCCATGGAGACAATATGAATTTTTATGGTAATAGGTTCCTATTTGTTTTCCTGAACAGGCACAGCAAAAGAAATTAATTATGTTAGGCAAACTAAAATAGTTAAAAGTTTGTTTCGTATATTCTATGCATACATTGGTCAGTCCATAACAATCCTCGCAAAAAGCAACTGACAATCCTATCGCTATTGGTTGTGCTGATGAACTGGATGAATGTTGAATAGTGTATCATCTCCAGCTTTAACCCTCTTTTGTCATTATTTATTGGCAATCTGGAAAGTGATCATGCACTTCTGTTATTTTGTTGACATTCAATGGTGTTCATTCTCCTTTTGTAATGCTTGAAATGAACTTCATTTATTTCCATATAATTTTAAGAATAATACAACATTTTAATAATAATATTCTCAAAATGGTTAGTTTATTGCAGAGAAGGTGTTCTTTGGAGGACTGGATGGAAAAACTTCTATCAGATATTGATATTTCCAGAAGCGCCTTAGCGGCAACATTTCTTGAGCTAGAAGCTGCTGCGAGGTCTTGTAGGTGTTTCCTTAATGCCTCTTATAAATGGATGAATATGTTTTTACTCCTTTAACTGCAGCCTGTCTTTATAGTTAGGATTAGACTGTAAATTCACATTAAATTATGCTCCATGGTCTAAATGTGTTTGTCATGTTACAGCATTCGACAACATGAATCAATCACATGCTGTTTCTTCTGTTAATGGTCTGGTTCCTTCATTTCTGTCCAAGGCCGATTCAGATGTTTCCCTGATTATTGGCAGTTCAATTGCATCTCATCATGATAATGCTTCTTCTGAGGAGATATCTGAGCTTGGAACACCAAGGCAAGGAAAAGATAATTCTGCTGATCCTTCCATGGAACCTTCAACTTCTGAGCCAAATTTGATTGAACCGTTAGAAAAAAGCATGAAGTATGGCATATTTAAGAAGAACTTTATTCTGGAAAACCTAGAAAAATTTTCCAGGCGAAAAATGCATTCTGGAAGAGAAAGCAACATTGATGGCGATAAACTTATCGAAAATACTACTGACAATAGATTTCTTCATGGAGATGGAGCAGATCATTTGCCTGAACCAGAGTATCGCAAAATGGATGCGCATGTTCGAAGATTGTCAACAGAAAGCATTGGAAGTGACATAAGTTCCGTGAGAGCTAGTGAAATATCAAACTTAGGCATAGCTAGTTTGTTTGGTGATGGGTTAATTGACCTGCCTGAAAATGCTGAAGCTCCCAGAACCTTGGGTTCTCTTAGCTCAGATTTACATTTCCATAAAGATTTGCTTGTCCTTTTTCTATCAGATGAGCGCAATAAATTAAAAAGGGTGCTTAATACACTGCAGAGGAGACTAACTACAGCAAAAACAGACATGGAAGGTTTTATAGCAAGGTTGAATCAAGAAGTTGCAGTTAGACAGTTCCTTGCAACAAAGGTATTTTCAACTGTAGTTAGAATGTAGAAGCCCCTTTGAATGCAATTTCTATTTCGGTGATTGTGTTGATGAAGAAATGTGTGTTAGCATACTTATGAAGCTTAATTTAATTTGATTAGCGTCATTAATATGACTGACTTGATAGGATTTTCTCTTGCAGGTCAAGGATTTGGAAATGGAGCTTGAAACCACTAGAGAGAATTGTGATGAAAGCATGCATCAAGCTGTGTTGCTTGAAAGAGAAAGATTTACTCAAATGCAGTGGGATATGGAGGAACTTCGAAATCAGTGTTTGGAGATGGAGTTGAAATTAAAGATCGAGCAGGTTTCTTTCTGTGTTGTTAACATTTCCTTATTATAACAGTTTATTAAATAAGTGATAAGCTTTGGTTAATAAGTGCTAAAATATTCCAGGATGAAAAGGCACATGCTGAGTCAGCAAAATTATTAATCATGAAGGAGAGCAAAATGCTGCTGCAAGAGTTAGATGTTGCTAGAGAACAGCTTGCGAACTTGCATAAACGTCATGAGGAGTTAGAGGTGAAATCAAAAGCAGATGTAAAGCTCCTTGTTAAGGAGGTGAAATCACTTCGAAGTTCTCAATCCGAATTAAAGCAAGAGCTTAGCCGTGTGATGAAAGAAAAACTAGAATTGGAGGTAATTTATCATCTCTTCTTTCACAAAATTCTGATATTATATCTCTTTGTCTTCTTTTTTCTTTGTTTTATTTTTTGTATTTCTCTAATGGTAAAAAGTATCATGAAAGGAGCCTTTTTTATATACCATAAAAGCTATTGAATTAACTGGCTTCAAAGGATTCATAGGGCAGTATTTATCAAGCCCCTTCTATCAATGTTGGACGTTCTTGATTTGTTTCTCTTTAATTGCTAGCAAAAATAAAAGCTTTTTTTCACTCTTATAATAGCATTTTCCTTGGTTCTTTTGGGCTAGACAAATTTATTGTTCTAGTGGTTTGTTCATGCTTCCCAGACTGTGGAATGTTGGCTCTAAATGTGTGTTGGTTGGAATGTGGTTCACTGACTTTAGAACCTTATTGAAAAGTCATGTAAAGTAAGAAAGCTTCCAGATAGTGACTAAATTGTCATGGGTGATGACCACCCATGTACATAAAGTTTATTGTTCTCTTTTTAGAAGAAGTAGAAGAACCTTCATAAGCGTCATAATTTCTATTTTTAAATGTTAAATACTATCTCATTAAAAAAAAAAAAAGTGTTAAAGACTACATGACCATCTTGAAAGTCAATGAGTGAAGATTTGTGCTTTAGTATTTTTCTTCTAGGTCAGACAATTTGAAGTTCTTAATTCCCTTATCTTAAAGGTATTGCAGAGACTGGAAATTCTGTTAGGAATGTGATCTTTCACAACAGAATTTGAATCATTTTCAAATTTTTGCTATGTTGAACATATTATATAAATTGGAGTATCAAAAAGTGGATGAAAAGAAAAGTGATTTACAAAGCTGTTGCTAGGGTTTTATATTCTTACATGACTTGCTTTTCAAAAGAAAACTCCTTTTGTAGGTTTGATTTATTTTAACAGGTATAAATTTTTATTCTGTTGTTCCATGTGCATTTTTCAGAGGGTTCTGCAGAAGGAAAAGCAAAGGATGGAGCATGCCAATGCTGCAAATACAAAACTGCTTCACGAATGTAATCTTCTTCGTGATCGACTCCAAGAATGTAGTGTTAATTTTCTTAGTGAGGAGGAAGATAAATTGATTGTTGATACTTCATCTCCATCTGATGCACTAGATCTATTGATGACATCTGATAATCGAATCGGTCTCCTCCTTGCTGAGGTATCCTTTGCACCTAGATTCAGTTTTCTGAGCACTTTGTATTTACATACTCTTGAAACCCCTTCTCTGAGAATTTTATTACAAAAATTGCTTTCTAACCGGCATGAATGTATGTGTCTGTGAATGCACATTTCTTGATATCTGTATCTCTACAGCATTATGGTAGTGATGTATGTGTTGTACACCATATGCATTTTTTTTTTTGAAGCAATTAAACCAGTAGCTAGCCCTTTTTATTGTTCTGAATTTTTGCTTTATAAAATATAGCCAAAGTTAAATAGAAGGAAAGAATTTCCTGGTTACAGGTGTGGAATTAAGGCTTAAAGGTGCCATTTAACTTTCATGCTACAAAAATTTTGGCTTGTTTGAATTGGATCTGCTTATAAGGTGTGGTGGAACGATATTTCATAAAAAAGAGGGTGGGGATTGCATTATGTCTATCACCATAACTAGGGGAATGTGTCAGCTTTCAGTGTTTTTTATCAAATATTGATTTTTTTTTTTGGTGGTGCAATCACTTGCTTCTCTCTCATTTCGAAACTGGTATATTCACTAATTTTGATTAACTATGTGGCGTGATCGTTTCATCAGCTAAGTTTTCACGGAGTATTTATAATTTCATGAATTCTTTTGCGAATTGGATTGCATGTTTATGTACATATTCTTGTCTAATAACTGCTTTCTAGAATTCTCTGAAATCAAACAATGTTTTAGTGCTGACTTTATCACATGTGAACAGGCACAACTCCTTGCCCAAGATGTAGAAAATTCTGTGGGTAGATTGGATGAGAGTCTCAACATGAAAGGCAGTGATAAAAGAATGGATGATGAATTAAGGAAGATGCTAACAGATGTTTTTGTTGATAATGCAAGATTAAGGAAGCAGGTGAACTCAGTAATACGTTGTGCTCTCAACACATATGTGAAGTCTGATGAAGATGACGAGGAAGAAGAGGAGACCCCCTCGAGGAAAACTGTTCTGAACAAATTCTTGTAAAGATAACTATGTGGATGATGACCAATTGTGAATTCATATTTCTTTCTGAATTCAAGGTAATAGAGCACATTTGCCATATAGCTCCATTATTTATTTACTAATTATGAGTATTATTTGTTTTAAAGAAAATTTCACCACCAGAATTATAAGGTTGTCACGTGAATTTAGGTAAAAAAAAAGAAGTAAATAGTTCATTAGGCAGCAGGTGAAACTCGAATTGAAGATGTGAAAATTCCAGTAAGACAATGACATACAAAATTTTTGGACTGTCATGCTTGGAGAACGGAAAGATTGTGTTGTTCCATGCAAATAGTTTTTGGTAATTCGTGTATTCCAATAACAAAAAAATATTAGAAATTTATATATTTATATTATGTTTTATACGAAAATTATACGTTATAATTATTAAAATAAAATAAATTATATATATTTTTATTTTTATTAAATTTATATATATATATTTTATTAAAATTTTAAAATTTTATCTTTTTTATATCATACCGTCCGGCAGCTCACAAACCTCTTTTGCGTTTTCCTTGGGCAGGTTGGAAGTTTCTGTAAAAACTCACTTTAAAACTAGAAATCCACATACACATGCCCCGAACATAAAATTGCCAATGATCTTTGCAAATGTGTCAAAAGAAATAATCTCATTAATAAATTATTTTTGTACATGATGATAACCTTGCTCAGCCACCTCAAAACTCATTTCAATTTTGAACTTAAAGCACTTAACTTAATGGTAAGTGTATGTATTTCCGTGCTTAATGTCATACACCTTTTTTTTTTTCCATCTAAATACAAACAAAAAGCGAAAAAAAATAACTGTTGATTCTAACTATCGAAATAAAATGAGTTCGTTCTGAAAACACACTTTGCTTAAGGACTAGATTGGAGATGCATATATTTTCAGTCTTCACCAGGTATTCCAGCAGTAGCAGTCGAGTGAATTTGGAAGTACGCCATCGGAGTCGTATATAAAATTACTTTTCCCCACCTCCAAACATCCCCATCATGTCCTTGGCAGAACCCATTTGCTTCATCAAGTTCTGCAAGCCTCCCATGCCCCCGATCTGCTTTAGCATCTGTGGAGGGAGGACCTTGCTCATGTGCTGTGCATTCATATTGCGTGACAAGGCACTCATTTCACCCTTCTTAGGAATTTTAAGCCCCTTCATCTTGCTCCATATCTTAGCAAGGCGTTTGTACTCCTCCATCATTTCCATTACCTCTCGAATATGTCGACCAGATCCCCTTGCTATCCGCATCATCCTTGACTCATTCATGAGCTTTGGGTTTGAACTATCCAACTCTACAACAAATTAACAACCAACAACACATAAACAACTAGCTATCCTATTAAAATGGTATACTTAAGCACTATTACATGTCTCAAGAAATTGGATAAAGCATAGCATTCACTTGCCTTCATTCGTCATTGAGTCCATCATGGTCATGTAGCGCTTGATCTTTGCCTGGCTTTCTTTTTCACGACCTTTCGGCATTAGTTCAGCACTAAATCCTGGAAGCATTGAGAAAACCTGCAGAAGGCAACTAAAGTAAATTATAAGCATAAAGTTACTGTGTTAACAAAAAGGAACAGAGAGATAGGAAAGATAAATGAAAAAGATAGCATTCTGAGGAGTGGGGAGAGAATCACAATTGAAAAGTTTACATTAAACTGTGAGCAACTGATGTAAAAACTTAACAAACTACTGACCAAGCAAGTCAATGCTCAATGATAAGCATTTAGCCTGGCAACAACTGATTATAATTTACTAAGGCATCAGCTATAGAGCACTAAGACTGTTTAAACTTGCTAAAAAACTGATTATAATTTACTAATTATTTTTAGTAATACTTTACAGCAAATGGACAACTGCAAAAGCTTCAGACATCAAACAAGCGCAGAAATTAAAATCTAAGACAGGTGTAAACCACCAAAATTAACATTCAGCCATCAGCTTTCAAATACATGAACATTTGAAAATGCAACATGCGAAAATCGGTAAAAGACACCCATTAAACAAAAAGACCCAACTGAAAATTTACTAAAAGGGAAATGCAGCAAAATACCGACGAACATTCAAAGAGTGTAATTAACAATAACCTGCCCAATCGGACCCATTTTGAGTATGTTCTGAAATTGCTCATACATAATCCTTAAGGTAAAGTTCCCTTCTGAAAGCTTTTGGAGAAGCTCAGGTTGTTGATCCATGGGAACAACTTCATGAATTTTGTCCATGAATCCAGACCAGTCACCCATGCCTATTCAGAAATATAAGAGCATGATAGTGCTTCAAACGGTCATCAACATTTTGGAACTCAAAATTACTGTGGTTAGTAGAATAAATAACAGGAAAAGGGATGTGTACCTAAAAGACGGCTTACAAATGGTTTAACATCAAACACTTCAAACTCATCAATATGCTCTCCAGTTCCTATAAATATGACAGGACTCTTAGTTGCAGCGACCCTGTAGTAGCCACAGAAGGAGAAAATCAAGAAACACATATCATGAGAACTCAACCTAATGATAAAGCAAATGCAGATACTATCTTGAGATAGAGAAAAATAAGGCAACAACAATCATAACACTTACGCACTGAGAGCACCACCACCCTTCGCATGACCATCCATTTTTGTAACAATTACAGCACCAACAGCAACGCTTTGTTTAAATGCTTGAGCTTGATCAAAGGCAGCTTGACCTATGCTACTATCCATAACAAAAATAACAAGATCTGGTTTCTAGAACATAAAGGAGAAGCAAAAAATAATTAGTGGGAAGATTAGCATCAATTATCCTGAAAAAAATGAGCATCTAAAATCTGGGTAATACCGTTGCTTCAGAGACTTGACGCATTTCCTCAAAAAGAGCAGCCTCCTGTTTATGGCGCCCACTGGTATCAACAATTATAAGATCGCAATTTTCCTGCTTAAATCTCTCAACACCTTCCACAGCAATTTTCACAGGATCTGACTCCATGTAGCTGCAGATATAGCAGAAAACATCATTCCAAATAATTAAGGGCAGATTGAAATGATGAATACACTACTAAAGATATTCTCTGGAGTTAAAATCCACGGCCGGAATCACATCTACAAATCAATAGTATATATTCCAGAAATTAAATGAAAATCAGTCATTTAAGTCTAAAAAGGTGTAAGGCATAAAGGGATTTCATGCATAAAGGGCATTTCATGCATAAAGGGCATGCCATGCATGTCAGACATTCACATGCATAGGCAGACACAATATGAATACATAAAAAATGTGTACAGACATTCGTTACTTATTCAAGAAACAGAGAAGAAAACTAGCTAAATATATGGCACGCAAGCATTTTCATGCTTCCTTCTTATGCTCTTTATGCATTTAAAAAACATTCTAGTAATTAGATACATGCATCATGTCATTGTTGAAAATTACCCAAAGTCAACATTATTTGCTTTTCACATCCCCATTCTAAAAATTAAAGAAATTCAAATAAAAAACTACCATTATGTGAAATAAACAGTCAACCCAGATTCTACATTTCCATATGCAGCCACAACAATGAATGAAAAAGAAGAAAGTACCTTCCATAAAATGGAATCTTAGCTTTAGTGGCATTCTGCTTCAACTGATCAAAAGCACCAGCTCTAAACGTATCAGCACAGACTAGAGCTGGTTTCCAACCTTTTTTCTGATGATAATACGCATATTTTGTACATGTGGTTGTTTTTCCAGACCCTGAGAAATTTTCACAAACAGAAATCAACAGAAAAATTCAGGTCTTCGTTCAATCTAAGCAACACATTTGAAACATAGAAAGAGCTTTTACAACAATGGGCAAAGGCAGCCTCAGTACCAATTTACCATAATTCAGTCTATACGAAGGAGTAAAAGCAAAGCTTACCTTGTAAACCGACAAACATCACAACACTTGTTTTCCCTTTCTTCGGAGTGAAAGACGGCTTCCCAGGATCCAACATCTTACAAAGCTCGTTAAAAATTGCCTAAAATGAAAAAATAAAAAAAACCCTTTTTAGAAACATGATTCTAATACAAGAAGTGAAGCATTAATCAAACCTTTTTCTTTCGTAAAAATGTTGGATTAAAAGTTTTCCAATTACATGAATTTTTTCACATAAAAGAAGAAAAAAAAAAAAAACTAGCAGAGAGCCATTAAATCAAATGTTATCAAAATTTTGGATTAAGTACAGACAAAAAAATCAGAACTTTAACAAATCTAATTAATTTTAGCATTAAATTATAGTACATAGTAAGATCACAAGAGAAAAGAAAAGAAAATTTTTAAAAATTTATCAAATAATTCACATCAATCATCAAAATTCAAAATAATAAGGTTAAATAAAAAAAAAAAAACCATCAATCGAAGTTTCAACTTCACCGAAGATCGCAGTTCGAAGAAAAAAAAGAGCACAAATTATTTCTCAAACTGGAATACCTGTTGGATGATTTTGCGCTTGTTATGGCCGGCGGCTAGATCATCGAGATTGACGATCTTCTTAATATTAGTTTGCATATCACGAACGAGCTTGAATTGAACATCGGATTGAAGAAGAGCTCTGGTGATTTCGTTAAGGCATTCGTTCAAAACCTTCTCGTCGATTATCGTCGCATTGCTCATCTGCTGTATCGCCCGGGAGATGCTCCCTCCTAATTGTGCTAACACCATTTTCGCTTTTTTTTTTTGAGGAAATCAAAGAGAAATTGTTTTCTTCCTGAGAACTTTAGGGTTTTTGATTTTTTGAGAAATCTGATCAGATAGAGGAAAGGGGAAGACGAAAGAAGGAGGTAATTCGAGTTGGGAGAAAGGGTAACCGGAAATGAGTGATTGGGGCCGGATTTGGGCTGTGTTTTATGTTCAGTCTAGACGACCCAACCCAAGGGAAACAATTTATTTGACAAAAAAGAAATATTTGATCAACAGAAAACAATTTGCTGATAATTAAAAATGAGAAAAAGATAAATGGAAAACTATTTTCCGCAAACACAATGTACGGAAACAATCTTTTCATGGATTGGTCACTTGTTAAAACTTGCGAGTTTAGCGCGACTGGAGCTTAGCTTTGGACAAAATTATTTAGATTTGGATTTAAATATTATTATAATTATATAAAAATATTTTTGTTTAATTTTAATTCAAAAAATATTTGGTAATATTAAAATTTTACTATAAAGTATTTTTTTAATATTCTAGTTATAAATATCACTATTTTGAATATTATTAATAATAAATATTTTTAATATTTTAATAATAAATAGTATTATATTATTAGTTTAATAATAAATAATATTTTGCATTA